TATTATTTCATATAATGTTTTCTTTCGTAGAAGCTGAATCGATAGTTCCAGTGTTGAAGTAAACGATTTATCATCTCATAGTCACAATGAGAGATTTAAGATAATAAGACCTTAAGATAACAAGATTGTAAAATTCTGTTCGCTTGAAATCCAGTTCTGCCGGTCGTTAAGAAACTTTAAACTGACTACCGGTGCAGCGAACCCTTGCGCAAGGCGATTTTTCTTTTGATCGTCCCACGATCGTGAAACTGGATTGTACGGAAGGTCACATCGTCAGCATGTCGTCAGTGTATGAGTTGAAAAGAGACTGGTCGGTATGCCCCCCTGAGCGAGAAACCACTTCTGGCTGGCAATTAAGGAACTAGCGAATGTATATGACCTAACCTGAGCTTGGCGAGGAAGAACGTCCAACTTCTTCTATGTGTTCCAAGAAAAGCGGGATACCAACGAAACGTGCTCGCGCAATATATGGCGTACATTCCGTTCATCTGTGGTTATTCCCCTCTTGTCCCTGCTACATATCGACTTTCGTGAAGCCGAGCCGTATTTCCACGATAAAAAAATTTTACCAGAATTCACTTATCGGGCGTGTAGGTCGAACAAGAACGCGTCACGACTATTGGTCAACATTGAAGCTTCGTTAGCGCGCGTTTTTTTTTCCCCTCCATAACGGTTAACCGTTCCTCGGCTCGTGCACACGCACACGAACATCGTATACACCATGTTTTGCATCTGATTCGTTTGAATCGATATTCTTGCCTACTCACAGTCGTGGTTTAATCGCCACGTTACAAAGATTAATCGTTCGCTAGATACGGGAGACAAGTTATCGGGTAATATATATGTGTGTCGTGGTAAATTTACATGGTAATGGTAGTAACACGGTTTACATAGGAAATACGAGGTAGATTAAAATGTGTTATAATCGTTTCTTTTAACAATATCGTTTCAAGCAATTTTTTATCTTTCCATCTAGCATTTATTTTTTAATTAACGAATGCAAATGTTGGAAAGTGCCTGGGTAACTTGATATTTCTCTAAACGATAAAAACGACAATGTAATACGTCGAGGCACACCGTCGGTAAAAAAACAAACTTGCTGAAATGATGAATTCCGTCCTTAACTTGAATCTCATTTTACACGTTACGCTACCCCTGTGCTATCACCTACATTTGTCTGCACATTTTCGTTTCTAACTACGGAATATCGATTCATACTTGTCTCCCGCAGTACAGCGTTGAATTTGAAATTTACATTTGCCCCTAGCTGCCGTAACGTTACCGCCGCCATTTGTTTGCCTGCCTGTTCAAATTAATCCTTTAAACGGCCCTCAAACATTGTTAAAACCTCTAATAATTTCGTGTATTCAACCGGAGGACATTGATTCATATTTACTCTCTAGATTACTCTCGAGTTTAATCCTCGAGCGCGGGGCTTCATCTCTTTCTGCTTAATCCCGCTGCTACGAACGATTAGCAGCAACATTATCTCGGGGAGCGGTATAATATTTATCATTCCCGCTCACGACTGTAGAGCGAAAAGCCGTGAGCAACGGAATGCAAAGTAGCAGCGGTAGTCTGCATACTACAGGTACACTACGTTTGAAAATATCCTTCAGCGCAGAGCGGAACGATACGGGATGGGGCGACGTTGGTAGCGGCAACCCCGCGCCGCGTTGCTTGTACGAGGCGAAGGTTGCTGGCTACGTGGACTCGGAGGGATGGTAGAGAGGCACAGGCACAGACACAGAAGAGGGAAGAGGTCGTGGTGGAGCGAGTAGAGCGGTAGTGGCTCTGGCAGCAGCAACACGTAGTACACGGTAGCACCGCGACGAGGACGCACACGGTTCGTATCACGTTGCTTCGGTAGTCGGTAGACTCGCTTCGAGCCAGTCTCACTTCGGGTCCAGTGGCGCAGTCGCGTTACGCGATACATTTTTTTTCGTATCTCCAACCACTACCGCTACACCACCACTACTATTAACAGCGTCGCTGTTACCACCGCTACCACCACCTGCACCGTCCAGCGTGTCAACATATAACGTAAACGTCAGCAGGACTACAGAGCCACATCGGGTTGTGCCTGGAAAATAAGCAAGAGAACGTTTACATCCTCGAGACGGCGTCAGGTATGTATAACGATATTGTATTCTTTCTTTCTTTCTTTCTTTCCTTCCTTCCTTCCTTCCTTCCTTCGGACCATTTTTCTTCGTGTCTCGATCCACAAGCGTGAAAATGGTGGACCTCTTACGTGCGCGGGTTCCGTGACTGGAGCGATCGCGCGTCGTCGACCAAGACGCGAAACGAATTCGTGTTCTTCTGGAACATCGTCGCGTTTCGTTCTGCGTGTATCTCCCGTGTATTTCCATCGATTTTCCACGGCAAGACCCGCCCTGTAATTTACCGTTCTCTCTCTCTCTCTCTCTCTCCTCTCTGTCTGTCTGTCTGTCTGTCTGTCTCTCTCTCTTTCTTTCTTTCTCCATGGGTACATTTTATCGTATTTATCGTTTTGCGCCTACAATCGAATTCTAATTCCCTCTGAGACGCCAGGTCGAGATACGAAGATATACCCGTGTGGTGTGTATTGCGGAAACACACGAATATAATTCTCTCGATTTATCGAGATGACTCTTCGGATCTCTTTTTTTCGGCGAGCGCGCGCGTGTTTGCCGTCGACGATCGATGGACTCTATCGGCTTCTCTCTTTCACCCTCTATCCACGAATCGTGGTTGGCTGTTTCTTTCCAACGTAATACGCTCACTAGACGGCCTCCCTCGATGGACCGACCACGCGTCTTACGTATCGATTCTCGATAGAATAAGAAGATCGAAGCCTGATCGTTGTTCAGCGTATTTTCACCAGGTTCTTCTCGTGTACTCTAGCCAGAGATTTACCTCTTTAATATTCATCCATTTTTTCAAGCGAATTTTTAAATATTATAAATATATATTTAAAAAAAGTATAATATATATATATATATTTACCATATACACTGTATTATATATATTGTGAATATTTTTTTGACATCTTTCATCTTTCTTTTTTTTTTTTTTTTTAAGTTTATAAAACTTTTGATTGCATTTTATTCGAATTGAGACAAAAAATTTCTTAACTGACGATTGAACCGTAAAAACAGTTATTTTCCACGTTTCACGCTGATTATTCAATGCATCTTTGTGCGTTGCTTTTTTCCTCTGTGAGACCATAAAGACATCGGTCTGTATCTCGAATTACAGCCGACAAACCCCCATGAACGGAAAGAATTCATTGGAAGGAACTTTGCCAACACTTCGACTACATGCTTCGGCCGACAGTTCGAAAGTAGTTTTAAGTTTTACGCGAGAGATCGAATCTATTGTTGAAATTGAAAATAGCTATGG